TTTTTTACAAAAATTCCGAGATTACCATCATAATTCTCAGAAAATTTACGATAGATGCAGGGAAAAAAAACATTACAATACGTTGATTTTTTCAACTGATGAATGAAAAATGGCTGGGGTCTTCCAGACCCCAGTGTGGCTTACACATGTGTAAAAAATAAGTGTGGCCTGCGAGGCACACTTAACAAAGTCGCGTCAGTTATCACTGATCAAAGAGACTCATTGACACCAAACACGTAAAACACGTAACGATATTCGTATCGTATCGTAACGTGTGATCTCTTTGTGTGTGATCTCTCGTCGTCGAAGGAAATGGCTTTATGTGTATGTGTTCGCGCTTGAACAACGAAAACTTGTTAACGTTATCTATATTGACATAATCGCGATAGAATGACTAACCATCGCCATGTTTTCTTCTAAAGATTTTCTGATCAATCATTCAATCTTCTTCTTTTTTTTTTAATTCCAAAATACGATAAATTACAACACTTTTCTTGAACGTGACGTTTTAAAAATAAGTAATCTCATATAAAATTTTACACACACACACACACACACACACACGCGCGCGCGCGCGCGCTACCATAAAAAATATAGATAAAGTTTCACTTCTCGTCTCTCGCGAAATAAAAGAAGAACCGAGTCCAAATTTGTCGAGGCATCCAATGCAATGACAAGGTAGGATGACGAAGCGTGCGTCTTGCGCGCTACCAAAGACCAATGTTTTATCGAACGATGTAACGGGGCATAATTCCCTGCGCGTGCGTTTTTGCGTGCGGTGCGCTTACGCGCTATTCCGCGGAACGTATAGTAACAGGTTTATGGCGTACAATTATCCGAGGATGACGTTTCCCTTTATTTTTTCTTTTTCCTTCTTTTTTTTATCTCTCTCTGTTCCGAACATTCAGAAGTTCAAACTAGATTATTTGTGAGAAGAAAAACATCTCGCCGGTACTTTTATTGCACGTGTCAATTAGCTACCATTTATATGTTGCCGGTTGTTGGCCATTTCACGGTCTACAAAAGAGGAGATGCCTCGGAGACGTACTTTATGCGTACTTTTAAAACTTTTTTACGCGAATACGAAATAGAGAAAGTAGTAGATCGCACACCATTTTTACGCGTAATCGTAGGCAAAGTTTACGCAGAATTTAGAATAGTAAATTTTAAAGATTGCAAAATTTTTGTCGAACATACGCGGTTGACATCGGTATATACGTACGTTGTATATCGGGTTGATCGAGTTGCGAGCCTAAATATGTGAAATTGTAAAGCTTGAAGTGCGTACAAAATGATCCCGGTATCTTTTAAGCCGTTGTAGAAAAGTATCTGAAATTGATTGAAATTCGAGAGAGGGACTTGGACATCTTGGAGAAATTTGTCGAGTTAGATAACGTGATGTCGTGATGATTAATAATAAGCGATAAGCAACAACGATTTCGTACGTGAATGCCGCTTCAGGCCAGTCAATTTTTATCTTTAGCTCGCGTAAGTAGAACGTCCAAACTTTTCAATGGTCAATTCACAATATTGCTCTATCGATCGAAATCGTCGAGCCACAAAAGATTATCTCAGTCAAGAATTAAGCGTTTCGATTCTTAATCGTGGATCAGTTAATCGATTAATATAATATCTTGGGGATTAGACCAAAGTTAAGGGATTGATAGAGGACTTTGAAAGGGATATAATTGCGAGACGAGTCGAAAGCTCGAAAGTTGAAAAAGACCGTTCACTCGATCTTCGTTACGACACTTTATGACAATCGGTACAACGATAACGCGATCGTGTATGGATATCGTACGTCACATCGGCACGACGCGACGTTAGAATATGTTTCCGGTCTCACGTCACTGGCTCCCCGGTTGGATTCGTCCCAAGTCCCAGCAAAACTCCCACGTGAGTACGTACAATATGTGGTCGGTAAGAAAAGGCACGCTGTGTTATGCGCGCCTGTTATTATAGCGGTGTACTTTATTTGGCTTCTCTTCTCGATATGCCGGATACGCGACACGTGTTCGAAATCCGCTATATGCGTCATATAAGAGCGTCATGTGTCACGAAAAATGCGCACACGTATTTATTTATACGAATTTCTAATGTCACACGTGTCTTTCAAATATATAATATATATGTTAAATATATATATATATTTGGAGTTGGTCGCTATATAATTTCGAGCATTTTTCTAAATTAGTAAAAGAAAATAACGTCGATAGTCGATAAATGAGAAGTAGCAATACAACCCTTGGTTGTATTAAAAGATTACGGATTGGACAGATTGCCGCGTGCTTATTAATGTGATTCGAGAGTGGCGAATAACGTAAGGTGTGTAAGAGATATTAATACTTGGGAAAGGATAGGAAACGTCAGCCATACGCGATGTTTCCGTATAGTTTCAATACGGCGCGGGCGGCCTTTCTCAATATCCATAACCCATAAGCTGAGACAACCTGCGCCAACAAGTTCACGCGTGAAAGCTGATTGCTCTATTAATTTTACATAAATAATTTTCCTAGACTAGCGCGTTTCCTGTAACACCACTTTCTCAACATTTTTCGCACGATTTGTCGCTATCTGATATACCTGCTTTTCCGGCGTCTCCGTGTAAACTCTGCCCAATATACGTATCTATACTTTTCGAAATCGTCCATACGTGTTATGTATAATATACGACGATAATTATCGCGTTTCCTTTTATATTGCCATCGTCGTTCCTTCAATATCGATACTGCCGTAACGTTGCCGTTGCCCGGCGGTTTCCGCTATCGTTATTACCGCGGTTAACTACTCATATGTTTCGCTCGTTAGTCCCCTAGGCCCTAGGCAAAAAGATGGCAAAAATGGTAAAAAATATACCTAGGAATGTACTTTTCGACGAACGCGACTTTCGGACTGCATCCTCGTGCAGTCAAATGTGCTTAAAATACAATAAAATTTACCTGCATATACGCATATAGTATAGAAATGTACGAGGGAAAAATTTCACCAGAGTTTCAATTCTTTCTATTGTCGCGATCGATTCTTATCGCAAGATGCACGTATACTGTGTCTTTGACGATAACGTAACGCTTACTTAGCATAAAACAGCGCGATGCTTTATTCTGGTTATTTATTACCATGTACGCATGATAAGAGCTTTTAGATAGGCACGCCAATGGTTATACTTTGCTTAATAAAACTTGAATATTCGAATATTCTCTTTTTAGCATTATCATATTTAAATACTCTCATCTCTATCAACAGATTTGCCGTCATTTTATGACAATTATTTTATTTATTCCGAATGAAGGTATGTGCATTTGGTTGATTATAAAATTTAATATAATGAGTCACTAATGAGCAAATACTCTATAAACTTGATAAACTTTTAATTAGATATAAATAGATAAGAGAGGAGTGTTCAAACTCTTATCAAAGGTACAAAAGGGGATGCAAATACGTGCGTCTCCCTTTCTCTCTCTCCCTCCCCCCTGCAAGAGCAATAAGAATTCGGCGCGAGATACCTACGTTACGACGCACGCACGTGCTGGTGCAACTCTCGTTATGCGACACGGGCGAACGAGCCGGCAAGCGAGAGTGGAGAGGCGAGAGATACCGGAGTGCCTAAGGAGTGGCAGGCTAAATATAATCCGTAGATCAGAAAACACGCATACAAACTGCGTAATCCCCCGCCTAGAAACACGTACGTTTAGTCGTCTTAAAACTCTTAACTATCCACTGCTCGTTACCATTCGTTTTGGGGTTACGCCGGTGCAGTGGTGCACATGCCAGTTCTCTCTTTCTCTCTCTCTCCTTCCCTCTCCCCGTTCGGCCTTTGCGCGTTTCCGCACTCGTTCGCGTTCCCGTTTCCCGCAAGCGCGACAAACGGTCCGCGACCGCTGCAGTGACTTCGGTGCAACGCTCGTGCACGTACAATGTGCGTTTTACGCGCGTAATACACGCGCCTACAATTACGTGCACCTGCACACGCATCAACGACGGTGTGTTTCGATTATAATAATGTTATCGAAAGATTCTGTAAATTCAAAAGATTCTGTGTCTTGTCTGTGATCGTTGCAGCGATCGGGAGGTGCTTGAAATCGGTAGAAGAATTCAGGTATCTTATATTATATGCGAGGGGAGATATATGTGACAAAACGAAGCGAAACGAAACTTTGATTAATTCTCTTTTATAGTGTTTAAACCTTAAAGTACGGTATCATTCTGTATCATTCTGTATACGCGTTATTTTTGTCGAAGAAAGCATATAGTATATTATAGACATAGTGCGTTTCTAGCGCGTCACTTTCGTGTCTTTTAGCATCGAATTTTCATTTCCGACAAAGACAATCGACGATCACTGAACCAGTAAGATAAGAATTCAAAGTTTGTTTCAACGACAAACTTCTTGGTCAAATTTCTTGGTCGTACGCGGTCAAGTAGTGAAACTGATCGAAATCAAGATGAGTCGGAATCGCGTATACGGAACGCGAACTCGCGTCAAAGATTAAATTAAATTTATTTGGGAGATGTTACATTCTCTCTCTCTCTCTCTCTCTCTCTCTCTCTCTCTCTCTCTCTCTCTCGGTAATGTACGCCAAACTGCATTATAGTCTTGTATCACACACTTTGGTTGCCTAATATTATGTTATGTCTCTCTCTACATATCCTGCCATATTACGTATCTCGTATCTCGTATCTCGCATCTCGCATCTCTGCCCTCTGCCTTTCTTGTATAAGATCTTGTGTATTTAGCGTTATACATCTCGTCTAGATACATTTTGTTTTTTAGTGCTGCCAAATGCTAACTAATTGTAAGATTTATATTTAAAATTACACAGTAATTTAAACATTAAAATGACAACTTTGCGAGGGACTAGCTTTGGCTTGTAAAGTTTCTGCAGTGTTTTCGTGATAACCGCGTTGCTTACTCGAGCAACAGTGGGAATGCCGGCGAATGGCCTCAATTTTTACAACTTTGTAGAGCGGAATGCAAAGCGATCGTATCGTGCAAGAGTTTTCATATCAGAAGAAATATATAAGAAGTCTTTCAAACAAAAAGAATCTTTCTCGTCTCATATGTGAGAGGTTTAGATATATAACAAGTATATTTCGTCAAGTATCAGAAGGAGGGACACCAAAAGAAAGAAAAGAAAGGACAAACAGATGTGTAGATTTGTTGTTCCCTAATAGTTATTTTCCTCCGATTGCTGCGAGGCGAAGGCAAGGAACGAAACACATAAATTAAAAGTGCAGAAAAACACAGCTGTACTGTGTCGCGAAAGTGTCTCGCGAGAATGAAAAAAGACCAAGGCAGGATGATCTGTCTAAGCCTCTAAAAAGCCTAAGCGATCGCTTTGTTCCGACGCGTAATAATATCGCGCGTGTCGGTAGAAGGGAGGGAAGAAGATGAAAGGGGGGAATGGAATTTTGGCTAATTTGAGATCGAATGGACGATTCTTGTATTGGGATCAAATACGAAGCAAGCGTGCGTCTCCACCGCGGTAGCGGTGTCGCGAAACCGCGGAACTCGCGACGATTGTGCGACAAACGGTATGCGTAAGTGCGTACACGCGGTATAATACGGACGTAATTGTTCACCGCGGTTGTATAACGTGGCTTCCAGGCGACCTCCGACAGTCGTCGTCGGAACGTCGCGTCGCGTAGCTTCGCGTTCCGACACGAACGCGTTGCGAAAACTTGCGCGATATTCCGCCGTGGCCGTTGTTTGACATCATTCGAAGATATCGATCGAAAATCGGTGAAGTACTGGAAATGCGACGATCGGGCGAAAATCGTTCGGCGACCGTCATCGACGACAAGTGCGTGTCAAAGCGTATCAGAAAATTACTTTCGGATCGCTGGAGCCTCGAGTGGAAACTCGAATAATCATCATCGCGATTAATCGTTACGTTCAAGAACAATTGGAGCATTCAGTCGGTATTCAATTTGTCGAAACAAATTTCGCATTTTTGCTTCTAAAATGCAAAATGTATTTTTCTCTACTCTAGACGATATCGGTCTTTCTATCTACATCTACATCTACGATGTCCGTCGGACGGGAACGCGAACGTGAATTTTCGCGCTCCCGTCGCGTGTCGCGTCGCTTCAGGATAGCGATCGCTTTTTGCTCGTTATGCGAAATTGATCGATCTTGAGCGACTTGAGCTTCGATCCGACCATCCGTCTCATTCGCGGCCCTTGCGCGCTATTCAGGGCGCAACGTGACGCCAATTGCCAGATTACCACGCGCGTGATAAGCGAAGAGAGCGTGAAGCAACGAGAGAAAAAAAAACAACGGCTAAACAACTTATTTAAACAGAATTGGAACGCGGTACTTCGCACCGTTCTCGCGCACTTGTTACATTCGCTCGTCATACGGCTCCGCGTAATTACGTAATTACGTAATATGTAACACCGACTGAGGACGGTGCAACGTGCGACGACGTCGTAGCATCGTGGCGTCGCCGTCGCCGTCGCCGTCGCCGTCGTGGCGTCGTTCGTTTGGATTCGTGAATGCTCGCGGCAGTCGCGGCTCGCGCGCGCGTGATCGGCGTGATCGTGCCGTCATCCATTCGCTGCTTCCGTGCTCAAAGTGTTCGACATGCTCGACGTCGCGCTCGAATGAAACGTTCGCACATATACATACATTTATGAGCGTATATGTACGCGCGTGCTTATAATTCTCAGCGCGCAAAACCGCGACATCGTTCTTCAGCCGTTCTCCATCGCTCGTGACGTCGCATCGTCGCGTCGCGGCGTCGTCGCGTCGCGCTTCCACGTGAGTCGCGAGTCGCGCGCCAGTCACGTATGTACAGTATGCACACGTTAAACCGATGACTCGAAATATGATAGAAGTAGACCAACGGAAGAGATGGGCAACGCGAAATTCAACGTATATCCGGTTGAAATGTACACGACGTCACTTTCTTTATCCCGCCACTACGCCACGTCCGCGTCGGTATTCGATCTGCAGGAGATCATCGATTCCACGGCGCGGTGCGGCGTCGCTTCGCTTCGTGAAGCGTCATTACTGCCGCGGAACGTCGCGTCGTTCTGTTTTTTTTTCCACGTCACGCATTGTACGGTATTCCACTATTCCGCCATACGTTCCATATCTCCTGCTAATCGCGGTACTAAGTTCCACCAAGCTCCTCGCCGCGATCTAACGATTGACGCGATTGACAAACAAAAGTTGACGATTGTAGCCGACGCCGCGACGGAATTTACTTGGTCGGCTAGAGAATTCGTCGGAGAAATTTGAGGGTTATTCTCGCCTAGTATTCTCGCTATAAGCCAAGTTTGTGGGACGCAAGAGATATGTCTTGGCGATACGCGTAATTACGTGTGATATATACATATATTATAGAATGCAGAAAATTGTAACGAGCACAATTGGAATGCGGTAGATGCAGGATGTGAGAATTTCGAGACTAATTATACTTTTCTCATTCTTGATATAAACGAAATTTGTCGAATATGGAATATAGGAATGTCGCCGACTATTCCTTCGATAAACAAATTTTGCGAATCGCATAGGCGCGAATCTCGCGCGAAACGAAAGCGAGCTTGCGCAACTTGTGACAAATAAAACTTGGAATATTATACGCGTTGAAGGAATTTGTGTAATGTACATTAGTTTGTGCGTGGTATGAAGGAAAATGCAAAAGTGCCATCAGGAATTATTGCCGGGCTATTACGTGACTACTTTCGTACGAAGAATAATTCAGATCTTTCACCAACGAGGTCATGCAGCGTGGGATGTTAATCGAAGTATTAATTACTCTCACTCTCTCACCGCTGATGCAGAGACAAAATAAACTTAATAAACTGATCCGATCGACACCACACCGTGGTGTCGCTTCCTCCGCGGACGGATCGACGAAAATAATTAACGTCCAAGATCAAAAGACTTTTCTCTTCATTCGAAGAAAAAAAAGGAGCGACGTTGTCTTGATTTACACGCTACGTTGATTAACGAGCAGTTTTTCCTATACGTTATGTGTTATGCGTTATCGCAACGCGTGACGTAACATAGCGGCACACGTTTTACTTGATTATTATCCGCCGTGATTCGACCGTCATCTCTTACAATTAACATCGTTCCGTTTCGCAATCGCAACGATATTCGCAAACGGAGAGAAGAGAAAAGAACGGAGAGCCAAAGGCGAAGAATCGATTCCAGAAGCTGCAGAAAACTCGCGTCACCACACACAAGAAAGGAAGAAGGATTTTATATGTATTAATATATTGTATATAATATATAATAGCGGAGATGAACGAGATGCGGCACGTTTTGACAGGTCTGAAGACTCCCGCGAAGAGTTCAACCTTGAGCAGTGGCATCGCGAGTGCTGCAACGGCAACGTGGTACGATGTCCCGATGCCGATTATTGTACACTGTCATGAGTTCCACGAGGAGGCGGAACGCCAAGACAAGAACGACGAAGCGAGGAAGAAACGTAAAAGACCCTCCGAGGACGAGATGGCAATGAGACTCGTCAAGGAAAATACGACGGCCAAGTTCTTGGGGAGAGAGAGTCCTACGAGAGTCTGGTCGTCGAAAGACGCGACGTCGAGTCGACCTGGAGGCCTCTCCCTGTCTCCCGACAGCGTTGGCGAGGTGTCGCGGAGCGAAACCTCACGAGCGGAGACCGTCGCCGTCGCCGTCGCCGTCGCGAGTAGATCGAGTCGAGTCTGTGTCTCGGACAATCTCCAAGTGAATCCCGCCGAGTCTCGCGTGAACAACAGGACTCGGGATGAGAAGAGACACAGTACTACGATGGAACTGAACGCCACTACGACACTGAAAACGGACGCCGATGGAGTGCCGACGATCAGTTTCAGCTTTTTACGCGCCGGTGAGAATTTTCACGAGAACGACGACGAAAACGGCGACGAGATTGTTATTCTGGAGGTCGACACGAGCGATCAAGCTGACTTGTCGGGAAATCAGTTGTACGACTTTCCTAAGAGCGCCATTCTGGAAAGTAGTCGAGCTTCCTTGGAACGACCCGGTCGTGATAAGGACCAAATAATTTCAGGCGAATCCTCGTTGCCGGCAGCTCGTCAGGATCCTTACGACCGCGACATGCCGAAACTAACGTGCAAGGACGTATCTTGGAACGAATCGCGAGAGGAAGAAGTGCCGACGATCTCCAATACCGATCTCGAAAACGATCAGGAAAATTACCAAGTCGCAAACGCAATAGTTTCGCCTGAAAAGAAGAACCAACAACGAGACCGGATGAAACGTTCCACCAGATCGCTCAAATCTGGCAGAAGAAGCTACGGCGCGTCGGACAGCGACGGTTACGACGCCGGCATAGCGTCGATGTCTGGTTCGTACTCGGACCCCGAGTGCCCGCATGGCGCCGGCGGCGAGGAGGCAGCGTTGTCGGAGAGCGGAGGTTCGGACCGCGGCAAACGGCTGAGGTTGCAGAAGCGACGACTGGGCAAGGCTTGGGGCAGGATGCGTAGCTGGTTGCGAGAAGAAAAGACGAGGATCGGCCAGGTGGTCAACAGGCACGCCAAGTTGCAAGCGGTCGGCGCGCTCAATCCTGAGGTAGTGTCGAAAAATTGAAAGAGAAAAGAAAAGATAAGAAATCTTGGCGCGACTAACAATAAGTAAACTAGTAAACGTTAGTTAAAGTCGATCGAAAGTAAAGATTATTGATAAAACTATAGAAAACTGCGCGCCCGTACTTTGTTTTCAGAAATGTTAATTTGAATCCCATCCGCGGGGCTGATTCTCGATCTGATTTTCCAAGGTGATATTAAACGTGTGTATATCTTTGTAGCTTTGTAAAGACCGTACCGTAACAGATAAAGTAATAGATGAAAAGAATCAGCCGAGCTGCTTAAATCGTTAGTCAGTCAGTCAGTCAGTTTTAACCGAGGTTTTAACTAATGTTTATGGTCACGCTGCTCGATATGAAATTCAGAGCGTGAAATTCGCGGTTGAGAAGCGCGAAATTTATAATTTATATAACTCATCGCTTTAAATACGACGTTTACACTGGACCTTGTAAGTTATGAACTTGTTTTGCTCTCGATTTAATTTCTTCACACATTTTTCCAAGGATCCTACACTCGATCGTGCAAACAAGTGCCGACGTAATTAAATTAAATAACGTGATACGAGTTTTTAAGATTTCCGACTTGACGATACCTCGAACATGCATTGTTATAACAGTTAAAACGGAGAAAATGCACGGGTTACCTATAATTCTCGCGATTGATAATTTCGCGCGCAAAAGCGATGAGTTTTCTAGCTTGCGCCACGTTTCCCGGGGGGAACGCCTTCATTTTACTTGGACCGATGTTTTATCGAGGAAAATTCTCGCGTCAAGGTGCGAAGCAATCGTGCCACTCCCGTGCAAACATCCAAGAGCAAGCAGCGTGGCTTCTACGATCTGACGCGGGCTCACACCCAGGAGTCTGGCTCGATCACCAGGGTGGAGGAGTTTGGTTTGTCGTCGGTGTCGGAGGAGGTGAACGTTTCCGATGATATCGAGAGGCCAACGTCAGCATCGCCCGATTCGGGAAACACATCGGCGAACGACGCGAGAAGATTGCGCGGCAACCTGCGAAGAAAGACGGCTAGTTCGGACGATATTTTGGAGAACAATAGGACGAGGTTGCAACTGCCAGGGTCTTTTAGCATGGATAAGCTATGCTCGCGGGTGACGGAGAACGACGAGATGAAGGTGACGACGGCGACGGCGACGGCGCCAACACCAGTAGTGACGATGGCAATGGCGGGGACCAGTGGTGATGCCGAAGCGTCGAGGGACTACGGTGGGAAAAGTGGTCTGATTAAGAGGAGAATGCTCGGGTCAATCAGAGGGTTAATGGCCTCGACTCATCTGTTGCAGACCTACGAGTCCGACGAGGTATTTTGCGCTCTTGTTGTTTCTTTCTCTCATTACCAGGATCACTGACACGTTTGTGCGGTTGTTGTACACTTGCGTACCCTACGACCGAACGTGATGCTCTTGAAAGCTAGAAAGAAATGGAAAGATAAATGCGAATGAACAAACAATAAAAGTCCAAAACGAGTGATTGTAACGTAACGCGAAAATGTATCTCAAAAGATGTACCTCTTATACATATATAGTTTTTAAATGTTTGCGTTATACGATTGTGCATACATTAATATGTTGGTTACATCTGTCCAAGACGAAGGAATCTCTTACGAAGAAAAAAGTTTTCTTCGTAAGTCGCAAATGTTTGACATGTTTACCGGTCACAGCACGTTCGTCACTGGATATCTAAATGATATTGACACGTTTCCACGAATATTTTACAGCAAATACAAAGTAGCAATTTCGGCGAGACTTTAAGAGGAGGTGCACGCGCGATAAATCAGCGACACGAGGCATAGAAATCAATGTTTGCGCGCTTTTTCGTAACGCGTTTCGCTCTTACGAGAAACTTTTCGGATGCTGCTCTCGCAGCGATGACGTCATTTTCATCGAAAATCATTTTCACCATAACAGACTTTTTTAGCGCGTTTAGAATGCTTTTCGTTCATCTATCAAGTCATCGTTACGTGATTTACGCGGATTTGTCATGCATGAAAAAATTTTTTCTTCCATTTTGTGAAATCCTGATTCTTAATTATCTCTGTGATGTACCAAAAGATTTATTCATCAAACACGTTTGTCGAAAGATTTGATATTTTCTTGATAAATCCTTACTGAAATTTTTCAGTTAGAATTTATCTGTAGACGTAAAATGTAAATCTTGCATGTAAAATCTATAAAAATATAAAACTCGATATAAAAACTAAGAAATATAAATCTTGAGAAATATAGGTTAATGTTAATAATTAATTTACAAATCGTCAGTATCTAAAATGTCGTTTGTCGTTTTCCAATTCTGCTTTCCCCGAGTTGAAATTTTACTTGGCCGCTTGTCCGATCAAGAGATTTATCGATTGTCCAAGAGAAATGGCGCTAAGCGGCCAGGTACGAGCATGCCTTGAAGCATCGCAAGAGCAAAGTATGGAAAGTGTGGGAAAGTTACGCGGAGAAAATAGCCGACTTTGTTTCACAACCACACACACACACACACACACACACACACACACACACACACACAAGCGCGCGCGCAAGTGCGCACATGCACGATGCACAAGGCTTGACCGCCTTCCCTATACGTGTTTTCATATGTGTCCTGAAAATCATATGCACGTGTAAGCGTATTTAGAGACTGTTACATTCAACCACGAATTTTTCGATAGCGTGGCACAGGAGTCGATGAGTTTCTCCGTGCACTTTTTTAGACAATATGAAAATACATATATATACGTGTGACGTATAATTCGTTCACGAACGCTGTGAACAAAATTATCAGTTGAAAGCGAAATAAACATACTGTGACGCTCGCTTCTTGCATTTAGAAATATCTCGAGCAATTTTATTACCAGCGTCACAGCTGTCATCGAGCAGCATCGATCGATATACGACAATTGTTGCCACGGTCAATAATTTTCATTAAGGTCTGTCGAACGTTGAACGCAAATTCTGTTTTGCTTACGATCCATTAAGTATTTTAGCCTCAATTGAACGTAAAATCTCTGCTCCGTGCCCTATAAGATAATCTGCGCAAACTAATTGTTGCGTAGGATTCGGGTGAAATGCATTTTTTTCTGCATCTTATCGCGTGCATTTCTGATTGTGTACTTGTGTTATTATTACAAAATTAGGGCGTGACAATTTAACAGGTTGATGATGACGCGCGACTCACAATCAGAAAGAACAAAGAAACGCTCGTGACGATGAAAGTTCCTTTGTTTAACGATAAATATGTATAGATGGATGTGCTCCGATATGACGAGATAAAAGGCAAGCCCCTCGGAAATTCGGGGGAATTCGCACGCGTTGTCTCGCATTAACGCAGTTGAAGATGCGATCGAGGAGAATAAGAGATGAATTCGCATTGAGTGACTGGCACGTTCGCATTAATACGAGCGGTTGGCTTTACAATTGTGCCGTATATTTTTTCTTTTTTTTTCGACCGGACTTTCTCGTATTAACGCGTTTAAAATGAGTTGGACGCGCGAATAAATCAATTTTTATTAAATTGGCCAATAAAAGTGAGCCAAGTGAGCCAACGTGCGAGCACTTTAATTTATAGTTACATAATACATAATACGCTTCAATTTATAGTTACATGTATTACCATACATATATCATGATTATTTCGGGAATGCTAGATCGCTTATGTGCTCTTCTACTTTATTCACGTAAAGTGCGCTGTAATAGATTCGATGGCGACTGGTCATTGACCTGTCCATTGCGAGACGAGGCGAGTGGAAATAAACCACCTGTTGCAAGTGCACGCCCGTTTGTCGTCATCGACAAACCTACTATAATCGACTGTATCGATTAACCTTTTAGCCGTCCGAATTGGTAATAGTTACACCAACTCATTTTATCTCGACCGTTACCGTTACCCAGTGGTGTGAATGCACACAATCGCATCCGCTATACGAGCACGCGCTATTTGTCCACGAGATATAACGGCATGTACTTATATACATATTTTTAAAGGAAAACAAGTATATTTGAAAAAAACGCGCTGAATTTACTAGGAATATATCTTAACTTTATAGCCGACTCATTTTCTAAGATTTTAAGACAGTGTGACTTTTTAACGTCTTGCATAACTTATATACGCGCTATAATTGTGAGAGTATATATGCAGACACACGGATGACGGAAATGTAATATTCTTATACCGGTTAATTCCTCTACTACTACTACTACTGCTACTGCTACTACTACTACTACTACTACTACTATTACCATTTATCAGTAAAGATATTACGTAATATGATTGCACATTATGATCAAATGACGGGTTTGCATTGATGACTATCCCTTTCTCGCCTAGAAATATTTTGCCGAGCAAAAAATCGGTACTTGACAAAACTGGCGAATTATAATGAAATTCCGTGTTTGAAATTGATTTAGATATTATTTTGCCTTTTATTTTTACGGCGTAAATATTTATTGACGCTAAAAATTTGTATAATTTATTTTCACTGCTTGAGTTGTGAATCGCATCTTTGACGACTACGATTTAAAATTTGAAATTCTTAAAATACGTTAAATATGTCAATAGTCTGCATCAGAACTGCTGACATAGAGACTAATTTATTTAACTGACAATTATCAATCGTATTTAACACGCCATGCTCCAATAGCTCCGTAGAAAGGTGGTTTTCCATTATTGGCGTCGAACTAAATCTTATTTGAGCGAACGTACCAATGAATACTCGACAAACTTGCGATGACTATATATCGACAGTTTTGTTTTCTTTCGCTATAGTTCTATGTTATGTATATTTGATATGTATATATGTATATACGTATGTGTGTGTGTGTGTGTGTGTGTATATATATATATATATATATATATATATAAATTTATCGTATCTTTGTATATACGCATCTAGCTAATTAACACGCAACTCTTTTGACTTTCCTCAAAGCCTAGCGAGTCAACGCTTGCTTTCACCGAGTGCCGCGGGCGATGATTAAGCTGTAATTCGAATCAAGTGTCAGTCACCTTAGCGCGGCAAACGAAAAGAAGTGCGATATCCGATAGCCGCGGGAACGTTTATCGTGCACAAACACCTTTCCATTATAAGCTAGTGTTTTACGATTTTATCATTCCTGCAGCTTCCGGGAGTCTTGGAGAAGAGAAGCTTCCTTTCTCCATAAGATATGGCAATGTTATCCAAGTTGAAAACGGTGCGCCCGTTAAGATACAAAAGGATTTAATAATGAGAAAATGAAGAGAAAGAAATTTACGCGTACAAACAATGTCCATACACATGTATTATACATATCAAAAAATTGTGTGTATATATATATATATATATATTTTTTTTTATTCTTTCGTATAGTATAAATTCTTGGATAAAAAAGAGATAGAAATGTTTTGCTTTATATATGTATATATAAGTCTGCATAACTGCAGGATGTATTTTGTAAACAAAATAGAGTCAAATTAATAGCGTTCGTGCAAAAATATCGTTTATGATAATCACATGCGACAAATATTTGAAGAAGCTAAGCAAAGGTATAACAGCGACAAATCAAACAATTGGATGATAACCGATAGATACATGTACACTGACCGGCAGGAATGCCTGGACATTTTGATATGTATGTGACATATATGTACATGTATTTGTATATGTATTATGTCCAGGCATTCCTGCCGGTAGAGTGTACATCGATCCTTTATGACTAGAACAATTTCCGTTGTAGGAGAAGAACTGCGTAAGCGTGAGAAAAATAATGGTATCGGTCGGTACAAGACAGTGGTAATGTTGCATACAATCAGTCCGTGACGCGGGTTACCGCTATCTTATGCTTTCCCCTCGAGAATCGAGTGTATTCGAGTTAGGCATAAAACCAAACAAATCATAGTATAGATTTTTATCTCTTGAAGACGAAATGATAATCTTAAAAGATATCGAACTTTCAAAGATCCACAAGACTTGTCTACGAGAATGATAAAATATAAAATTCTGTTATCGCTATATATTCATAATTAAACTGTATCAAATTTGCGATAACTCGGTGCAAATTGATATTTACTCTGTATTAATTGTCTTTCTTTTACTATCGAATTTTTCCAAGTAACACTTTGCGCTTTCCCCCCTCTCTCCCCCCTCCCCCCTCTCTCTCCCTTTCTCTCTCCCTCTCCCTCTCCCTCCCTCTCTCTCTTTCTCTTTCTCTCTCCCCCCTCCCTCCTTCTCTCCCTCCCTTCCTCTCTCTCCCTCTCTCTCCAAATTTTATCGTACGTAATAGAAATTCTCCTTTTGAATTTTAATACGACGCAGAGCTTTCTACTGTGATGATATTTAATGACGTTATAAAGAAATTTTATGGCGATAACGCTGAATATGAAATATATATCAACTTGATATTATTAGGTTTATCGCAAAAGAGAAATATCTAGATCTAGAATATAGCAAAGCGGAACGTTTTTGTAAAATCCTCTTCCTATACTTTCTTGCTTCCCTTTTTTATGCCATCAAGTATGCCAGTCTCATGGTTGCGCAACTAATTGCCTTCTTGTCACGTGCAGGGAGGACAAGGTGGCTTCGAGGACGTGCGAAGGTACGTCAAACAAGGAGGCGATTTTTGCAAGGAACTGGCATCGATTCTTCACGAAAGGTACTTAAACTTGTTTCCTTTCCATCGTTCGTCATTTGCGCGGGCGCGATTTTTCAATGGGGAAAATGCGAAAATATATGTTTCAGAGCCGAACTGGAAGCTACGTACGCGAAAGGGCTCAGCAAACTCAGTAGCAAGCTGACAAAGGCCTGCGCCAAGGATCAAGGTGACTGTCGGTTCTGTTCGGTACAAGAGGTTTTATGCCATTGCAATCATTGCATCCATTGCGTCGCGTCGGTTACTTGCATTCGATCAATAATAATACGTGATAATTGCAATTATATTTATTTAACAATGAGATGAATTACAATTAGAGTATCCAGAATATCTCTTTATATATAGCGAGAACTTGACTTGATTTAATAAGTATAGATAAGAGCATCGTAAAGTTTTTCTGCATCGCAAATATTATTGGAGAAATTCATTTCATACCCTACATATGTATATTACATTTATGTATATTGTAGATTCGATGCGAGTTTTACTCCGCCAAAGATATACATTATGCAATGTACCTATCATATATGTATAAGTGAGTTACCTGATTAGACCTTTATTTAGATTTAGATTTTGAAGTAAGAATCTTTGCTCTCCTTTATATTATTACTGCTCTCAGTTTATCAGGCCTACGAGGCCTCTATGAGGTTTATCTTTTCACTTTTCGAGCGTATAGCAAATAAGTATCCATCGATGAGAGAGCGCGGCGCGAGATTAGGCAAGATAGGCGGTGCCCATAGCAATATCATCTCCTCCAAGCACGGATCGCGATCTTCTCTTTCGTAATGCAGGTGGCAATAGCAACGGAGGTGTGAACGAGGCATGGAGGTGTGTCGGCGAGGAGATGGAGGCTGCGGCGGAAGCCCACCGACTATGGGGCATCGCGTTAAGCGAACAACTCGCCAAACCGCTCAGAGTAAGTTAAGAGTGAGTCTCTTGTCAATAGTCAATATTATAAGGAGATGAAACGGTGCCTTTATAATCGTGATTTATAAAAACGAAGCTTGTGATGACCGTGAGGAAGAAACTGGACGCGCGCAACCGCGTCGACTTACGCAACGTCGCCGTCGCGTCGCGTTGCGAAACGATGATGATTGATTAAACAATTATTAAAATCGGAGATTGCGCGCGTGAGGAAAATTTACCCTGGCACGTTATCTCTCTCCTCTCTCCTCTCTCTCTCTCTCGTCTCTTACGAATTACATTGGCGAAAAGTGCGTATCGAATCGCAAATATTAAGGTGGCAATTTGGTATATGAGATTACATATTACTCCGCAGACAGATACGTTTCTAGACGACTAGACAAATTTTAAGCCGACTTTCTCTTAGCGAAAGCTCGAACCGAAAAGACGCACGAAGAACGGGGTGATTCGATGACCGTAGGACGTAGGTAGGACGTTACGAGGTTGCGTTACATCTCCCAATGAAATGTTGAAAACCTCAAGAGAGTCGAGAGAGGAAAGGATTCGACCTCGTGATCGAGAAACGAAAGGTGATAACGCGTATATTGTCTCGTGTGCAGGTGGGCGTAGCTGAAACGCAAGGCCGGTCGAGGAAGAGCATCGAAAACTCGGTGGACAAGGCATCCAAGTCGCTTCAGGAATGGCGTGGGGTAACGGCGAAGAGCAAAAAGCAGAGCTTTGCGTGCGCGCGCGAGAATGAGAGGCTACAGGATCTGGCGCGGCTACAGACCATCGGTCAAAGCCAGCAGAGCAACAACAGGTCGTCGAGTCATCAAATGACGGAGAAGGAAGCGAGCAAACTGGAGGCTAGACGGAGGAAGGCCGAGGACTCGTCGCGCCGAGCGGACACCGAATTCTACACGGTCAGTGTGAGAGCTGAGAGGGCCAGGCTCGAGTACGAGAGCACGATGAGGAAGGGCGCGAAGCAGATGGAACTGCTCGAGGAGGAGCGACTGAGCGCCCTGAAGGACCTCGCCAACGTGTACTTGACGCACTTGCAGGCGCTCGCTCCGCGATTGCAGCAGGTATAATACGAATTAATCGATTAACCAGGGAGCCCCGGATGACCACACGCCCACCCTCTTTATTTCTCTCTATTATTAATTTATATTCATTTACATTCGTCGGGCCTGAGGGCCTGAGGGCCTGAGCCTGACAATGAGTATTATAATATTCAAACGTCTCACTTTGAATATGTATGTATATTATACTTTCTCAGAGCGTCGATCGCTTGCTGACGCCTGTGCGTAGCTGTAACGTGTCGCAGGATCTAGAGATCCTGAAAAATCTCGTACGCCGAATGGACAATCACGATGTGACGAACGCGGAACAATTGCTGCCGGATTTCTACGCCGAGCACGTCACGCTGGCGATGAATCGCGAACGGCGAAAGCAGGCCTTGGTGAGGGTGCTGCATCTGATAAGACAAGATCTGGAGAGGGAAAGGCGAGGTAGAGAAGGTCTGGAAACGTTACACCGAGCCTTTGTCAAGACTCCGGCGTTCGCGGCGGACGAGAGCACGCAAAACGTGACGGACAAGCTGCATCATGTACGCGTCTCCTTACACTTGCATTTATCGCCGTAATACTTATCTGACATAATTAGATAGGGAATTATTTCGCGCTAGTGAATAATTGTCACGCATATATGTTTTTGCAGATGCGCTCGATGTTGCTATACTTGGAGGCGGCTAGATATAAAGTCGGCGGTACGCTTGCCGAAGTGGAAGGTAGCAAACGGAGCAAACATCCCTTGTCGGAGCATATCTTGGTCTCGAGAGACAAGCAGGGTTTGCAACAAAGTGTTCTCAAGGTATAGTAGCGTGCCAGAGAAATTTATATGTAAATCAAGCTCGCGGAGTGCGCGGAACGATTATCGGGCGGAATTATATTATCGGACAAACGTACAAGTACAACAAACTACTTGCTCTAAACTTTTATGTACAAAATCATAAGCTCTCTCGATAAAATGAAGACAACGCGTTCTCTCTCCTTGCAGATTCCTTCTTGGACAAAGAACGAATCTTTCGAGATTCAGGACAGTGATGTCGAACTCGAGATGCATCTGACCAAGGATCAGAACGCCGAGACTCGCGATTGGGCTGATCGAACCGCCGGTGATGGCAATTCGGAGAATCCACCGGACGAGGATGATTTCAGCGATTTTGACGAGTTTAGTAGTCACTCAGAAGACAACAACAACCAGATTGATGGTACGGAAGTAGCGACGGCCAAGACTGAACGCACGGAGCAGTGTCGAGCGATCTATCAGTACTCCGCGAATCTGAACGACGAGCTCAGCCTCAGTCCGGGAGACCTGATAACCGTTCATCAGAAACAGCCAGACGGCTGGTGGATAGGCGAGTGCAGAGGCCGTACCGGCATATTCCCTGCCACTTACGTCCAAGTCATTCATTAGTAAACACGAATGATTTATTATCGATTTGCTTAGACTACACGTTTAAAGAATTTGAAAGAATTCCACATGACGCGATGACGATAGTATCCTCCTATAGGAGCTTCTTCCATCTGGCTTCGTTAAATCAAGTAAGAATATTATAATGTGCCAATAGCGTTACACGCAACGATTACTTTGTACGCACAAATCGAGGGTATTTCAACCGCGAACTCGCTCAAGCCCTCAAGCTCGTATAAAAATTAATTGAGAATTAATACCATACCAAATAGTAGTTACCACACCACATCCGATACGTCTGATCTGGTGTCGACAAGGTCTGGCGGAAATATGTTAATCATGTCGTCACACTATTTGCGTTTATACATACGTTTATATCATTCTTACTACTATACAATTAATATTTCTTTGTGTACCGTCCTGAAAAAGTCAATCCGAGTTACACACGTATCTCGACTCCGAGTATTTTTACATTAATTCTGACAATGCATTTTAACTCATCGTGCGTATATATATTACCTATTTTTGTCAAGATATGCAATACATTATGTTTGAAAACTTAATTGCACGATCTGTCTTCCTGACAAGAATTCAAGTTACTTCCTTAGCATGAAATGTTGATACAAATTGTATTGATTTTTTGTTTACACTGATAAATTATGTTGTCATAATGACTATGATTACTTATTTGTGCACTTAACAATTTTATTCCTTAGAGCTGTCGCTATATTTCCGTCTTGGAAATATTACTTTTCAAGCATGCTGTATACATATCTCATTTTTAACGCCAAGATTATCACATTATGTATGATAACGTTCTCTTTGTAATTTATTGAGGAATTGTGAGAGAATAATAAGTATAGTGGGCTCTCGAAATAATTTACGCGAAAGGATAAAAACGCGCGTGCAAGGGTAGACCGAGGCGAATCGGATTACTAATTAGCACAATAAAATAGCTCGTTTGAAAAAAAAAACACTAACAAAAATTGTCTTAAAACTTATATTGATCCGATTCGCCTCGGTCTACTCTAAGTTATTTGATGGATAGTGTATCATTTTAAAGGAAGATTGTTAGTGAATTTGCCGAGGATCGGTGAAGGGATTACCGATTTCTGCTTAAAAAGTGTATAAGATGTACATGTAATTTTATATAGAGTATTATTAAAAGAAAGTTGTTTTGAATTTTGCGAGGTAAAAGAGTTACCGATTTCTGCTTAAAAAATGTGTAAGTTATTTAATAAATATCTACTAATAATTATGCATAAAAAAAACAGGCTTCCTCATAGAGGAAGCAATGTACAGGTTTCTACTTGCACACTTAAAAACTATAAGAAAGCAATGTGCAAGTTTCCACTTGCACACTTAAAAACTATGAGGAAGCAATGTACAAGTTATTTCTACTTGCACATTTAAAAACTATGAGGAAGCAATGTGCAAGTTTCTACTTGCACACTTTTTTGTATGTTTTTTGAATTAAGGAAACTAAATTCAAAGAAATCAAATTTCTTGCAAATAATAAATTTTTTGTTCAGTGTAGGTGTACATGATAAATGATATCAATATCGCTTTATTTTAGTCGTTAAACGGCTGTTTTTCCCGTATGTTTAGGCTTCGTTTTATGGCTGTTTGTTTATTGTCGAAGGAAAAGAGTAGTTTTCGGTCAATTTCGGAAGTGTTCTGAAACGATCTATAGTGATGTTTTATTGAAATATCTTTTTATTTGAAAATAGCATGCACAACAAAATTGGGTGTTTTCCTCACCTCGATAGTAAGAATCCAATATGGCCGCGGTGACCATCCAGGAGCCTTAATACAGATTCGAATTAATCTATAATACCTCCGTGTAATGTCTCTTGCTTTCTGTAATTGCAAGCCGTTTTATCATAATTTGCCGTGTAGAAAAAGAATTTCTCATTGTTTCGTAAAATTATATACATTTCTTTTTTAAGAGGGGCTCTGATAGAGTCCCTCTATAAATCGGAGTCTAGGCCAACTTGCAATTTAAAATATAAGAAAAAAAGAAAAAGCGATATACATTCATATCGCTTTCTTTTTCTCTCTTATATCTCTTTCTCTTTCTGTTCTCTTGCTTTTGCCAAAAAATGGCAAACCAATCAAAAGTTGCTGTCGTATGGCCAGAGGCTTATTAGAGAAACTCTAGTTTACGAGATACAATTATTTAAACAATTGCAAAATGATGGAGCCTTGTCAATTTTCAAAATATCCTAAAACTGATTGCGGAACTCGATGCGGAATCGTTTATAGTTGATTGTATCAATGATTATCATTTTCGCATTCTTAAAGGTAAGTACGTGGGGACGATGGGTGGACATGCAAAATTTTGGAAAAAATAGTACCGTAATTTGTAAACTCGTATATTGTCAAGAACAGTCAAAATCCCGCAAGAAACGTGACAATGCACACCATTCTTCCATACACCCTTTACAAATATAGGAAGAAAATATCAAAAGATAAAAATGCGTCAAGTCATTACAATGTTAAATTTACGTGAAAATCCATGTGCATGGAAAATCCATGGAATCTTGACATTTTATTAGTCTCTTTTCTTCTCTCTCTTTCTGCGGTAACAAAAGTTCACGTTTTCACGCCAAACCGTGTACACGATATCGTTTTAAAACTTACAATAAACAACAGTTTAGGCCGAACATCAACTGATGACATACTCTGAGTTCCGTAAAACGCACATTTTCTATAATCGCGCGCATTTTCTATAATCTATAGTAAACGTTACATATATTGTAAACAAATGCGCGCATATGCGCTTTACGGAACTCAGGGATAATATATATACGTAAGGTAAAGGTACCAATATATCTGGATAACCCGGACATGTACCTATATCTGGACATCTTTATTATTTACAAGTATAACGCGAATTCTCAAATCAAAGATAAAATTATTTTTTCTTGTAGTTCGAAACTTTAGTTAGTATCCAAACGTTTATTTCCATAAATTTATATTTTTTTAAAGGTATCCAGACATAGGTACGTATCCAGGTATTGGTACATTCACCTTAAGTGTCCGGGTATTGGTACTTTTACCTTAAGTGAATCTCGCGTATCATTAATGTATATTGTAAATGTATACTTGACGTCTTTTTACCTTTTTTGAAAATTACATTTACGTGATATCATTAACAAAACAATATTTTCATAAGCTCGAACTATTCAGTGTATCCGCTGTGATCTACTTTTCATTAAAAAGTACTCTTTCGTGAACTAAGCATCATATTACTGTAGGTACCAATAAATTCTAGATTTAGTAAAAACACGAGATAAATGCTATCATTTATCAAAACTCATTTGATCAAATAAGCTTAAAGATGCAATTAATTTATGGATTTAGTTTTAATTGTTATATACAAATTACCTAATGTTTAATTGAGAGGATCGTGGTGCCGGGAGTGGGTCAAATTAAGAAAAACACTCTTATTAATGACTATATATAAATGTATATTATAACTCTCCTTCAAGAACAACCGCTTCTTAACGCGGCCAGATCTCGTGTGTGCGCGTCGGGGCCTATTCGGCCCGCGCAGCATCGGTACACCCCCGAGGAGGGGAAAGTAGAGGAAGTAGAGAGATAAGAGCAGGGCGCTCCAGTATTCTCACACTCCCTCCCGACCGCTCTTAGGCCCAGTTTCACAAGTGTCGGTTAACTTTTAATCTTAGATTAACTTACTCTTCGTCTTTTTCTAAGGGGGACGTTAGAAGGAGACGAAGAGTGAGTTAATCTAAGATTAAAAATTAACCGACACTTGTGAAACTGGGTCTTAGTCTTTGATAGTTTTTAAGCTAGATCCTCGCCAAAAGCACGCCTCACGCCTTATCTTTCCGCTTACTTATTTCCTGTGAATGATTAAATATAAGTTACTAAACAAATTAAGATTTAGTATTCATAAGCTCGCCTACTAGATAGCTATGTAATTCAAAAGCAAGAGGCTTTGTAAACAAATCAGCCAATTGATCTTTAGATGCTATCCATTTAACCTTTACATGGTTTCTTTGAACACACTCTTTGACATAATGCTCTCTCACCTCAGTCATATGTCTTAATTTATTCCCACCATTAGTTTCAGCACTACTTCCCGCAGCTCTATTATCGCACCATAAAGTCATGGGGAAGAATGACTCAGTCAAAATTAACTTTAGTGAATTACTAATAGCCATCATCTCTTGACACGCCTTACTCATAGCGACATATTCTGCTTGGCATGTTGATAACGCAACATAAGATTGTTTATGTGTTCGCCAGATTATCGCATCTCCATATAATGTAATCGCAAATCCACATGTAGTTAAAGAATTCTTGCAATCTGCAAAACTTGCATCAGAATAACTTTGTATATCATTTGTCTCACCAAAATATCTTAGCCCCAAGCTTTTCGTTCCTTTCAAGTATCTAAACACTCTTTTAACCATTTTCCAATCATCAGTAGTTGGATTCACTTGGTGTCTACTTAATACGTTAACAGCATAAGAAATGTCGGGTCTCGTCGCACCTGCCAGATACAACAAACTGCCCACTGCTTCTCTATAAGGAACGTTTTCTTTCTGTAGTTAATAGTATATCATCGTCAATGTCCGTCTCACGCAACTTTCTCTCTCTGTTAGCTACTTGAGTAGTAACCATTGGTGTTTTCTGAGCATGTGCTTCGCTAAAGTTGAACCTAGCTAAGATTTTTCTTATATATTTTTCTTGGGTTAATTCAATTATTTTGTTCTGTCTGTCTCGCTTTATAGCTATACCCAGAAATTCTTTTGGTTCACCTAATACTGTCATTTCAAATTCTTTACTTAAACCTGTCTTAACCTTTTCTAATTTATCTTTATCATTACTCGCCACTAATATATCATCTACATATAAAAGCAAAATTAAGTACTTATCCTCATTTCTCCAAGTAAACATACAAGGTTCTAATTCTGAATTCTGAAGTCCCATTTTCAGAGCAGCTTCAGTGAATCTGATATTCCAACGCTTTGGACTTATACGTAATCCATAAAGGGCTCGTTTAAGTTTACACACCTTTTCCCTTTTATCTTTATCAGTATAATTCGCACCGTCAGGTATTTCCATGTAAATTTCCTCATCAATTAGGAATGTTTGGTGTAAAACTCGGGGCAGATGGCGCCATGGCGTCTAGTCCTGTCATGGCGGCGTCACCAACACTAACTCAATATACATGTATGTGTTGGTGTATCTGTGAGCACATCCGTGAGATCTGTAATGTTTACACGATATTTCGATATTTCGACATTTCGATATTTCGATATTTCGACATTTTTGATGAATCGAACTAGCCGCGAAGTATCACAGATAAGCTCACGCATACATCAATGCATACATGTATATTGAGTTAGTGTTGGTGACGCCGCCATGACAGGACTAAACGCCATGGCGCCATCTGCCCCGAGTTTTACACCAAACATTCCTAATAGTTCCATTAAGAAATGCTGTTTTCACGTCCAATTGGCAAACATCTAAATCGTGTTTATTAATTATTGCGATTACAGAACGCACCAGAGGCAATCTTGATACAGGAGCATATGTCTCCCTTAGTTCATAATAGTTTTTATCTTTGAAACCTCGAATGACAAGTCGCGCCTTATGTTTAATTTTCCCATCTGATTCGATCTTTTGTTTGAAAACCCACCTTGAATCTATAATATTAGCCTTTTTACCATCACTTGTTATTGTTGGACGACTCACCAATTCCCACACCTCATTTTTGTTCATAGAATTTAATTCGTCTTCGATTGCTTTCTGCCACAGTCTCTTATCTTTTGTCAACATAGCTTCTTTATAGTTAATAGGGTCTAGATTAATATCAGCTAAAAGAGCATGATATAATTCATCATTATCTTTAATTTCTGCTTGTTCAGATTCTGCATTGAATAACGCATCAGCTTTTAACTTTTCGTCAATTTGTAGGTTAGAACAACTAGTATCATTTACAGACTCACCGTTAGTCTCTGCTTCATTGTCAGGTTTTAATATCTTAGGATTTAATTCAATTTTTCTAGGTCTACCTCTTTTACGCTTGGGTTCTCCCTCCGGTTTTAAAAACTCTTCGGGTTTATTCTCACCTTTATTGTTCTCACCTTTATTAAAAACGAACCATTTTTCTTTATCTACTTCTTCTAAGACTAAAAGAAGATCGTTAATGTCACTTTTCTTGTATTTATCTCTGTATACAATCTTTTCATTAAACTTTGCATTTCTACTCTCATAATATTTGCTTTCCTCAGGCTTGAGAAATATATATCCCGTAGGAGTATATCCCACCAGAATAACTCGCCTTCCCTCAAATCTAAATTTCGGACCTGTTTTTCTTTGAACTTTAATATAAGCCACGCACCCAAATCTCTTAATTTAATCTATGTGAAAGCTATGATGTGAGGCAAATCTTTCTAATGGCATATCGTTGGATTTGTGAGGAGTTCTATTATAAGCATAAACAGCTGCACTTAAGGCTAAGTTCCATAAATTTTCTGGTAAATTTGCATCATAAATATATGATCTTACTTTAGTTTGGATTGTCTGATTGAAGCGCTCAGAGACCCCATTATGTTGAGGTGTATCAGGACATGCTAGTTGTAATTCCGCATCTAATTTATTTAAAACCTCGATTGTATAGCCACCCGTATATTCCGTTCCCTGGTCAGTACGCAAATAACACACCTTAGCGTCATAACCTGGTAGGTTTCGAGCACTTCTCACAAACATCTCTAAACAGTGACCTGTGTCACTTTTCGTCTTCATTGGGTATGCCATTGCTAATCTAGATAAATCATCTATACACACTGAAATATATCTATAGCCCTTAGGATGAGAAAGTGGTGTAATCGGACTCATGACATCTCCATGTATTATCTGTAACGGTTCTGTCGCTCTCCTACGAGTAGTTTTAAAAGGCAAAGTATTGAATCTCGAAATCTTACACACCTCACAATCTAAAAGAGATTGGTCAAATACTGCTTCCTTTAATTGTTTGTTATCAGAAAACTTTAATTGTAAAGCCTTTAGATACGCAATTGACGCGTGGCCGAATCTAACGTGCCACAGCATCGCTTTGTTATTTTCTGCAAATTTTTTATAATTTTCTAAAAAGGGCGATTCTGTATTGGGTATCTCTACAATAGGCAACTCATCAATATTACTAAGTTTATGGTCCCAAATAGTCACATCAAAATTAGATTGTTCGTACACTTTACTATCAATATCTTTCTCATTCTCACCTTTATCATCTCTCCCTCCTGAATTTAAAATCTCATCATGAATCTCAATATTCACACCAATATTCTCACCAATATTCTCACCAATATTCTCACCAATATTCTCACCAATTTCATTTTTTTGTACGCTCTTTTCAGATTCTTTCGGTATTTTGTCAGTTTCAGAGTTTATTTGTGTCTTTTCTTTGGCTGTCACACTACGAATAATATATTTTCTCGCACCTAATATTTTTTCAGCTAAATTTGCTATAACTCGCCTGTTCACTATTTTATGTGATGTTTTATCATACCTCCCAGCAAACGAAAAAAGATTGAAAAGAATTAAAACGGGATTGCCAGGAATTCAATTAAGGATTTTCCGAATTCCATTCTGTCCAAAAAAAGGATTGAAATAGTTTCAATATCATGGAATTCCTTATTTTGGAAAGAATTTGTCTTTTTTGAATCCTATCCAATTCCGACACAAAAATATTATACCACTGAATTCCAGGTTAGGGACTGGAAAGTTTCGTGATGAATTCCATTGAATACCATTGATTCCGTTAACGAAATGAATACCACTGAATGCCAGGTTAGGGATTGGAAAGTTTCGTGATGAATTCCATTGAATACCATTGATTCCGTTAACGAAATGAATACTATTGAACGCCAAACTAAGAATTAAAAATTTCTGTATTGAATTCCATTGAATTCCGTCTATTCTGACAATAAAATGAATACCATTGAATGCCAGGATAGGGATTAAAAGGTGTCCGTGTTGAACTCTGTGGCGGTACGCGCCAACAATAGTACACGCCCGCGCGGTATCGGCAATTCGCGTCGATGCCGCTAGGCGTCGCATCGCCGGGGCATCTTCTCGAGTTCAAAATTTCGTCTCGACCGCTATGTAAAGGGACCCCGTACGGTGCCTGACAGATTTTATAAATCTCATTTTCGGGCCAATTGCCCGTCGGCAGTAGTGCGTGTAATGCCCTTAGACATACACAAAAGCTCACCGACGAACAACGGCGCTTGGTCGCCCAACGGAGGCGCGAGACGTTTCCTAAACCATCTAATGCCATGCAATTCCATAACCTTTACGGATTCCATAGGATTGAATGGATTTTAAAATTTCTTTTTTGGATTCCATGGGATTGGACCATCTCATTTCGAATCCCATTTAATTTTATCTAATTCCGCCAAAAAAGGGATTCAAAGGTATTAAAAAATTTTAATATCTTTTAATCCTTTTGCGTTTGCTGGGCTATTATCTTTAAGAATTTCTAGTTCTATTATCCAATATGGTCTTTTATACACACCAGTAATAAATAATTCTTCAGAAATAGGGTCAAAAATATCAATCTTTTCATTGTCTAAATATATACCTAACCCCATCTCTGCAAATTTTCGTAGTGACAATAAATTCTCTGTAAGAGCTTCTGCGCAAATGACTTTGTCTATTTCTAGTAAGTTACCGTTCTCTAGTCTAATTTTAATGTTTCCAGCTCTTTCCGTTTTTAAGTCTGCTGATTCATCTTTGTTAGCACATTTAATCACACCGTTATCAAATTCATCAAATGTCTTGAAAATAATTTTAGAATTCGTTAAATGTTCGGTCGCACCTGAATCTGCTAAAAAATTCGAAAAGAATCTATTTTGATTTATAGATTCAGTATTCAAACACCTAGTTTTAGTATTCGTGATATCGAAATTATCAGCTATCAGGGACACGACACCACTCGCTAGATTTAAAATATCATGCTCACCTTTATGATTATTTGTTTTCTCTGTAGAGTTTCCGCCGTTCTGTTGAGTCCCTTGATCTGAATTATTTCCTTTGTTCCCACCCTTATCGCACCTATTGTTAGTATTTTTGTAATTGTTTCTGCTCTTTCCTCTAGGACCATTATATTTTCCTCTTTTCGCATTTTCTGATTTTCCATTATACTCAGCTTTTCGTTTTAAACCTCGTCTTTGGTTAATACCTCGACCTCGGGAACGAACATTATTATACCTGTATTCTCCTCTTTGTTGATTGAATTTCTTTGAATTGGGGCATTCCGCCGCCCTGTGGTCTCCAAACTCGCCGCAGTTGTAGCATTGTCTGCCAGACAGACCTCTCCTTGGACACTTCGCACCTATGTGTCCATAGCCTTGACATTCATAGCAACGTACTTTTTCCAAGTTAGCCAAATTTGCTGTCCTCACCTCATTTTGCCCACCTCACACCTGATTTCGCGCCGCTTCGTCTTGCATAACAAGAAGTTTTAATTGGTCATATGAAAGACTCGCACCGTTAGAGTTTTTGGTGACAAACTCTATTGATTGTATTTGCGGCACTGAGATCATAACAGCATTATAGAAGGCATCTCGTTTTTCGTTTTCAGACAAAGGTGTGGCACCCGGAGAATTCTCATAATTTCTAATAATCTCTTCAAACTTTTCACAGAATTCACTCGCCTTTGTTTTACCGATTATATATTTCATGTTGTATAATTGCTTTCTTACTGAATGAAAGGTTACATTTATTTCACACCTTTTAATCTCTTTAATTTTACTTAAAATCTCCCCTGGGTTTTGCATATGTACTATTTTAACATGATAATATGGATCAATATGATTTATTAAGATATCTCTAACTTTAAATTTTTGCTCATTTAATACACTTTCATCTTGTATGTTGGAAATAATAGAATTATCTATTATATGTAGTAAATTACATGTTCTAAGTTCCGATGAAAAGTAATCATAGAAATGTTCATATTTCATATTTAAGTTCAATTTGTAATCACGCCTCATATTCGCACTTTTATTTATGAATTCAAACTTTAAGGTATCTTTAACTGTATTAATCAACGAATTAGCAGCTTTATCCTTACTGTGCGTCAAATCTTCGCGTTTCAAATTTTCCAGTTGTTCTTTGACTGCACTCGAGATTTTAGATTCTAAACTTTCATTATCGCCGGTTGCCACATACTCAGTTTGTTTCCTTTTATCATTTACCTCATATTCTCCCTCATCTTCAATATCTACTAGATTGTACGTGGTGACCAATTTATCAACCACATTGTCAAATCTAGTGATCTGTGTGCCCCACTCCTCTCTCAGAATTTTAATCAATTCGTACACTTTCTCAGTTGTTTTCAACTGCTGTGCACATTCTTTTTGAGACACAGCCAAGACATTTTCCTGAATCATGATCAGCTGATTCAGCTGGAGCAACAACGCACTAAATTGCTCCATAGTCTTGGTGATAGTGGTACAGAATTTCGAGAGGACACTCGTCATTTCTGAGATTTTGGTTTCTTGCATTCTAACTTTGGTCAAAGCTGGAAGTTCATTGATTTCTGAATCTTCGAATAATGTCTTCTTTGAGACTGGAGGATTAGGTTTAATGCTATCTTTAATGCGTTTGAGGTAGTCACTAGTCTTAGGGTCAGATAAAATTTCATTACCAACTATCAGAGGTAAAGTTTTACCCTCTTTGGCGACCTCAGCTACCGTAGCCATATTGGCCAACAAACTCACCATCATTCCTTTGCCAAACTCGCCTATCTCACCGTCGCCAAACTCGCCTATCTCACCGTCCACACCTTCCTTATCTCGCTTCTCCGATTTTTCAACAATTTCCAGAACACTTGCTTCACCGGTAGCTGGGTGACACTCAGATGGAGTCCTCGGCATCTCCAGCGGCAGGTCATTGAGGAGTTTGTCCTCACGCCAGATTAATAGGCTCTTCCATAACCTATCCGACAGCATTCTTTTCTCTGCATAAGATTTGGTAATTAGAGTCCTGCATTTTAGCATGAAGATTTAATTGTAGCCATATGGACTATGCCTAAGAGTCAGTTGACCGAACAACAAGTATGGCTGACACCAAGGCAAACAGACGTATAATGATCCGAACAACAAGACTTCTCATACATCTATTTAAGTAATTTAGGTAATATAATATCGAACAACAAATACATACTACCCGCATTACCCATCAGAGTGATTAATTTTTAAATTTTGCAAAATTATTTTGTTAATCAATTTTTAAATTAAAGAGATCATAAAGTATTTACTTATGTGTGCGAGTGTTATATGTATATGTGCTAGCCCATATACACACAAGCACTGTCTCTTTCATATATATACGTATGTATATATACGTATGTATATATATTTTTCTCACCAACACATTTCATACCAAATACACACCGACTTTCAACTCAATAAACTCACCAGATCTGTAATTTGCTCCCAACTCTGTGTTTATCAGAAGAGATTCATCCTCTACATTGAGAGTCACTTTCTCCCCTTTGTGCACTCCATCTAAATCGAATGCAATTTTCAAATATGTCCACAGATCCAGAAGATCCTTTTTTACTGTAAAAATTTTATTAGTTAATTAATCTGGAATTGCCAAAATATTGTTATAACTCTAAATTTTCAGTTTGTTAAATCGCAATTTAGATGGTGAAAAACCAAACTGCAGTTTAATTATTTGAGCTAATCTGTTTTCTAAATAATATAAAATAATAGTTTAACACACCAATAACTCGTCTTAAGATCACACCTAGTTTCGCACCATTGAATATGTACTCTCCGTTGATATATGCATATATTAATTCAATCTGATTTAATCGTGTATGTGTGACATACATGTTCCCATACATACATTTGTATACGTATACCCATGGGTCGGCCGAGCCGCAGCGATCAAAAGACGCCAAAAGCCCGCGTTTGTAAACATATGTCTCTACTCGGTAATAGAGAAAGAGCTCAGCCGCGCGCTATGTCTTATATCTTTCTCACCTCTCTCTTTTACTCCTTCGCTCGAGCGTCGCGCAACGCACCGCGCTCCTTCTCCTTCGAGTTCTCTGTTATGCTCTGGCCGCGCATATCAATTCTCGGAACCAAAACAACTGAATTCTTTTGACCGCGCGGGCAAGGCTCAAATAGCACACCACACACCAGTATCATTGTCGCACCGTTTTATTTTTCCGACTTGCACTTTTAATTTTCTTAAATTTTACAACTTTTCTTTTATATTTTTCCTTAAAAGATATACTTTATGAAGTTGCGTTTAATATGTGCATTTTCCTTCAAGAACAACGACTTCACGCACTCCCGGCTTTTACTTTGTCGCGAAATTTTCTCTTTCGCCACGAGCGTATTTTTACTCACCCCTATAGTACAATTACGCATTTACACACAGAACTTCAATGCGTATGCGTACCTATACGCCGTGTTTTCTCGGGTAACAAGGTAACACATAAAATATTACTTACTGGCTTCTTGCGACATTTCCGCATCGGCTTTTTGCACACCATCAGCCATCTCTCACCTCGAATCTCAGCACACCGTATAAAAGGTCCTTGCCTCGAAATTTTCCGCGCCCACAAAATTTACTGCACAAGCACACGCGATTTTTCTTTCATGCGCAGTGGAAGCGTGCTGGGCCCATAACCTGAGAGGATCGTGGTGCCGGGAGTGGGTCAAGTTAAGAAAAACACTCTTATTAATGACTATATATAAATGTATATTATAACTCTCCTTCAAGAACAACCGCTTCTTAACGCGGCCAGATCTCGTGTGTGCGCGTCGGGGCCTATTCGGCCCGCGCAGCATCGGTACACCCCCGAGGAGGGGAGAGTAGAGGAAGTAGAGAGATAAGAGCAGGGCGCTCCAGTATTCTCACATTAATAAAAATTAGAATAACTAATTCCACGTAAAAAGAATGATTAAGGGAATTTTCCAGTAAGGAAAGTCGACACAAACGTCGTTCTACCTTTCTTTTTTGACAATGAATAGGTAACAAAGACAAAACGACACTTGTGTCGACTTGTATCGCTTGCTGGAAAGCTCCCTAAATGTCTAACACAAAATCTAAATTTGTAGAATATACAGTTTATCTTCATCTTGTATATAATAAATACAAGATGTATATAGATATAATATCTTATTAATTATTTCGACTCGTGTGAAAATTATTTAATCTTCAGATCCAATTAATTTCTAAATGTTGAGCAAGACATAATATATTGACTTCTTAATAGCGGTCTTCTTGATGTTAGCAAACGCCAATAAGTAAAACATTATTCTTTGAATATTTTTCCCGATTTACCATTAATCAACTTCAATTGGATTTCCGGCAAATGCAAACGAAAAGTAACGCGCGCGGCGCAGAGACAGCAAGAAACGTTAGTTACGTTTTATGTGCGTCAAACCAATTTCAGAGATGTTTCGATGTAAAGGGGAAGAACAGCATGGAAGTAAACTAAATTTATATCCCTGCATCTAATTTCTACAACGGTGTATAGTCTACGGGCCGTAGTAGACTTCGGCTACCGCTGCTTTGTACGCTTCGATGCATGGCATACGGCGTGAACAGCGACAGTGCAACTATTGCAGCAGGGATGGGTCGCGTCGGCGGTCGTTTTACAAAGAGATATATATCGTTCGATTAACAACTTTTAATTAACAGTTGTGGCTCGTCTACAATAGCCGTAAAAATAAAAGAGTATGCAGTAAGACGTAAGCAGTAAGCTATTAACTAATAAGATTTTTACAATTCAAGAATAATCGACTGTGGTTAGTCAACAGCTTACTGCTTACGTCCTACTGCATAATCTTGGAGCTATTGTAGACAAGCCATTACGTCTAGGACGACACATTTTGACTAAGTGTAATGCTAGACGTAATTGTTAAAAATTGGTTAAAAAATCGTTAATGACCAAAACTGTTTATAAAAATAACTATGAAGCATAAAACTATTACAGAACTGTCTTGAAGACTTGTTCGGCTTTATTGCATCAAAGTTTGGTTTAAATGATTATAACGCAGAAATCGAAAAGCAAGCATTGAATTTCAAATAAAATTAAAGATTTTTATAACAAAATAAGATTTTTTTTCCAGATCACTCATTTATTATTCACTCAGTTATTTTCTTTTAGCTACGTTATCTATACTTGCCACCTTTACTCATTCTCTCAAAAATATAAACTCTTAAATGTATAAGTATTTATATAGACGTGTTTATCTTCAGTTAGTATCATACGTGTCACGTTGTTGCCTTGTTTTGAGGCTTGCTTAAGAAGTAACTGTAGAATACGATATCAATAACAGCGTACTTTTATTACTGTTACTACTCTATTATTATTATATTTTTGTTGCATTTTGTATATAGAAAATATGAAAAGTTAGGGAAAGATGTAGGGACTAAAATTTAAGTAAATTCTTACGAGCGAAGAGTTTATTGAACCGAACAAATCGATTGGCGTGCTCCGTTTGACTCCAATATATATAATGTCTAAACGTATGAAATAGTCTCTCAGTCATGGGCGTTACAAGCGATGTGTTCTGGAATACATCTTTTATTTATCTTAGACATATTTTTGGACACAGCCGATTAAAGTCACGAATAATTTTATGCGTTTTCAATCTTGGGGTAAAATGGTTGTAAAATGTTGATGAGATTCGACAGTAGTTACGATCGTTACGTTTTAAAATATACCGAGTGACCTTTTCGCAAACTTTTATTTTAGTTTTTTCGAATAGAAAATACGATATTCTTATCCGGTTTCGCTGCATATCCATTTCAAAATTAACTTTTAGAGAAAACTTGGTGGCTTGATATAAGAGGCACATTTATAATTTGCACAAATATGTGATTCTTCGTCCAATTTCCATCGTTTTTTCTTCAACTAAAATGCTAAAATACCGATAAAAACTAAGTAAAAGATTCTTTTACTTTATAGTTTTTAGCCATCGAAGTCGTTGATAACGATCCACGAGGAGATAAATAATTTGTTTATTTGCAGTTAGGGGCCACCAACAAAATCATGTGATCGCAAGTTTGCGAAACGAGTTTGCTCTTAATTTGTATGCGTTAGAAACGCTCCAAGATAACATATTTATTTTTATAGAAAGAATTATATTAAAATGCGTAATAACTAATAAATTGACGATAGATAGAGTAGCGATTGCATACAAATTTTATTGAACGAGACGTAAGTGCTCTGTAATTTGTAATCGCCCTCGTTTTGAAAAACTCTTCAGCCTTAGCGATCGAGTTATTCGTAAATTGCAGTGGAAACGTCGAAACGACGACCCAAGCAGAAAGCGTGAAATTCGCATGACAGATTTTCTCTCGAGACTTACTGATGTCGGAGTACATACACGAGATCAGAAACTGGCTAGAAGATCGGCAGAGAACCGTCTTTCGCGGGATAAATATTAAAAAAAAATACTGGGAAATTTCTCCCCCTTTTTTTATATATAAAACGGCAGTTGCGATATCGAAGTCTCGTTTACCTGAGAGCCTAACAACCCGCGGATTTGTCTGGCTGCTGTATAATATTCGAGAGATGAATCGCTAGAGAATTTTGACAAGTACATATTTAAGGAAATTTACGAACGAAATTACAACGAGTACGCATGGCAGCTGCATATGTAAACAATTTAATTTAATAAAAATTTTAAAAAAATTTTAATGAACCGAAACCGGAAAAAAATTGTAATTTGCGCAATACCGATACTTTTGTTAGCTAGAAAATCGAAATTGGAACCAAAACATATCATATCGGAAGACAAAAATCAAGAAATTCCGTCACATTAATGGCTGCCATGCGTACTCGTTGTAATTTTGTTCGTAAATTTCTTTAAATAAGTTATAACGTGAATTAAAATCAAAGAAACAAAAATAAAAATATTTTTTTTTAATTATATTTTTATCTTTGATTTTAATTCGCGTTGAAATGAAAAAAATCACTCACCGGCCGATGCGCAACAGCGGAGTTGTAAGTTGTAACCCTGCGTTGATCTGTAACAGAAATATTTTTACATTAAAGCATTGCAGTGCCCAAGATAATCGATACTTGTATTGTACGAGTAATAAATTAATGATTCGAGTATAATGTAAAGGCGAATCACGTCGCGCTTGAAAAAGTGGCAAAATCTGCCACAGGACAACAAAATAATAAACGAATAACAATCAAGTACTCACCCCACGGTTGCTCCGCCGTCACCTGATGCCTCCCAGACCTCCTCTTCCTCTCCGTGGTCCTCCTCCGGTGTCGCATCTCTGTCGGCGCACTCACTCACGATGCGGCGACGTTCACGAGCGAAAATCCAGCTGACACAACTACAGTACTACTCGCTGCACCGATACCAGCATCTCCCTAATGTAATCTGAGAAAAAGTACAACCAAAAATCTATAATATATTTAATTATATGTTCGATTGCTCAAATTATATGCATAAAAAAGATGGTATTAAAAAAATATGAGTAGGTAATTCCATTTTGACCAAATGACCAAATGCCTTTTGCACGACCATTTTTTATTTCCTCGATAATTATTTTACATATTCCCTATACTTTTAAGGATACAAAAATAATTTTTTCAAATTTTTCCACACATTTTCCGTTCCGATATAAATAATGTAACTCGTCTCGAGGGGGCTATTTGAGCAAAATTTTAGTATTATTCAATGAGTCATGACTCTTTACTGATGTAAGCTACAAGGCTCAGCTTGGGCTCATTCGAAAGCTTACAAGTAGTACTTTATCATATGTTTGTCGATTAAGTCTCAACTGAAGCCTAAACCCTTTATAATGAGGGTTAAATATTGCCTATGAAAACGCATATTCACAACATTTCGCCCGTCGTAAAAATATTGAACAGTTCGAAATTAGTGGCCAATATTGTATCGAAAATTAATATACATATGGATACTATAAAAAAAATTAAAAGAACCCACCGTTTCATCCCCTTCACAACATATCACCCCTTACAGTTACGTGTTTATCAAAAACATAGCATGTTTGAAGCCTAAAAAGAGCATGTGGGAAACGGGCTACAAATTTCTTGTTGGGTGGAAATTTTAGTGTTTTGTGTCACCTTTGAAGAAAAAAAACATTCATCTTGTTATTCGCAGCCCTTCAAAAGTTACAAGCACCTAAGTAACCTTAAAAACCGCCCCGAAAAATATTTACTCGCTAGTCGAAAAGTGACACGTATGCGCGCGTAATGGCATATAAACAACTACAATTTATGAATGTTAGTGTCCAACATGTATGTTAGTAACATATAGTAATTGTTTTTGAAAAAAAATTTCAGGAAATGTTTGCATCGATTGAGCGTTCGTTTTTTATACGATTTATCTCTCAATATCTTTGTCGTGCCTATAGATATACTATTTATTGACACAATACAAATTAGTTTATGTTTACATGTATAATGCTATTTCATATTCTACTCTCAGCATCACCCAGAGACAACGGCGTGGACGTGGTAGAAATTTGTCTCCTTTGGGGTGCTTTATTATCGTGAGTCCCCTTGCCTCTCACGTTTCGGGGTGCTTTATTACCGTGAGTCCCCCTGCCTCTCACGTTTTGGGGTACAGATGTTTTCTTTTGGTGAATTTTGCGACTTTACTCGTTTTTTGTTGTCGCGATAGACAATTTTATTTTTGGCGGTTCTTGACGATTTTAAACGTTACCACTTCTCTTGACATAAACGTTTTCTTTGCCTGGATACTTGATTCGTTGACGGGGTGGAAACTGTGGAATAAACAAGTTTCAGGAATCGGTTTCGCTATTTTAAATCGTTTGTCAAGAATCTCCTGTCTTCTCAATTTCATGTTTAGAACAGAAAAAAAATAGTATACCGTTAATATGAGTCGAA